AATCGAGGATAGATGGGATGTGACTGTGAAGAAAATTACACCCTAATTACGTTTTAAGAGGATGATACGATTCCACGTTACGCGTAATTGTTTAACAACCTTAGTTTCGAGAATTATACATACGTAACGTAAAATTTCAACGATTACGATATTAGCGGTTGTTTGCTTTTCATTTGCACACACCGTTTGCGTTTTACACGGTTTTAAGCTTCGATATGGAAACTGTTATACCTAATTAGCCCGTATACTTTTTATTAACGCCCACCATCCAATGAAATCCAGTTCCAGCAGGATTTTACGGCATTATCGATCTAAAACGCGTTTCGTTTTATTCGTAATTTTATACCGTAATGATTATCAAATTACGAGTTCAGTCGATGGAAGGAACGAATTGCGGGTCTGATTGCTTTAATTTTTTAAAGGAAACACCTCGATGCATTAAGCATAGAATCCAAAGAATTTTAACATTTTATTTCTCATCGATATAAAGCTAATTACGAGTATAATTTAATTTAATTTAATTTCAAATAATTTTATTTTAATTTAATATAATTTTGTATTCGATCATCCTAGAACTGATTTGATAAATAAAAATAATCTTCAAATATTTTCAAATATTCCTGTTACAGTTACCTCTGTGCAGAATTATCCAAAGGACTCGTATCCAGAAACTTTTCTCCATCCAATTTCGAGGGATCATTCTTCTTTGTTCAATACGTTATTATCATATTCCTCCCCCATTTGACGAATGGTAAACGTGTCGAAAGAATAGAAAGAGAAAGAAAATGCAATGTGTATTACAAAATCTTGCTTGTAATTCGTACGTGTAAAAGTAATTACATCGGTGTGCGGGTGGTAGAAACGACAATCGGGGAAACGTTCTACGCTCCACTCCTTTGCATAAGTAGCGTAACGCGATTATCGCGGGGCAATCGTTTCTGGACCGCGATACCGTTATTTATACCGGTCGGCAAAAACCCCGACCCTCCTCGTGGATATTAGCTCGAGGTAAAAACGCCCGCCACCAGAATCCTGTTGTTTTTAAACGAGTTTACGCTTGGAAATACCTACTTAACCGTATTCGCATAATCTCGGGTGGGAGGGGTGAGAACGGATTGAATCTGAGTCGGTTTCGTTGTAAAAATGTAATGAAGCCACTGGATAAAAATTTAAATAGGGGGAGGGAGAGGGAGAGGGAGAGGG